TTCACACTCTTCTTAGATTGTCTTTAGAAATTCATTCGAGACTAAAACACAACTATAAAAGATTTTCATTATTCGAAATCATCAAAAATGAACTTGTTCATTTTATTTGTCCTTTTCTGTAGATGTGTGCAGGATATTTTCGTGTATTTGTGATTATTCTTTTGAAATGTCTTGTTAGCAATATTTTCTTTCGATCATGTTGGGAAATGACTCTGTCTCAAAGCAGTTTTGTAATTGAAACAGTCTTCCTAGTTGTTTGTCATACTAGTCGTTGAAAATATACTCTTTGGGCCTATGTGCCAATTTTCGATCTCAATTCTCTTTAGAATGTTTGTTTTTGAAGAGGACTTGCATCTTCATGTTGAACAAAATCAAAATTGATCCTTAATTCATGCAACAATCTCACCTTTTAGTACAAAAAAAATAAAAATAAAATAATAAAATGTATTGTTGACCTGGATTATTAGTGTTTTGTCTTTGGCATATACGTACGATATATGATCTTTCCACAATAGTTACAGAAAATCAAAGCCCATACTTGTTTTCAGTGGAACTCAATGGATTCGGATGATCCTCTCACAAAACTTCTCTTATTTAATGTTCTCCAACATTCATCAATGAAATTTGTTTTCTTTAAATTCTAATTAGTCGGAAAATGTAGAACATTAGAAGTTACTTGATGAGATTCTCGAAATAAGTCGCAAGTGCATGATCGCGACTTATCCATATCCATTCTAGACACATTCGTTTTGTTTACTTACATGCATTTTCGTGAACTATTGAGGTAATTATGATACTTTTTTCTCTTGATACACATGATTGATCTAATTCACCTTTCCATCCTTACCTTATACACTTTGCTCTAAAAAAAGGAAAATCCTAATAAACTAAATCGTTAAGTCTAATTTGAGTACTCTTCGACTGAGAAAGAAAGGCAGAGTGTAAATTGAAATCGACAGCAATGTAGTACGATTTACAATTACTAATTGATTTTTTTTCTACTAACAATTGAACAGTAATCACTAAATATCTTGCAAAGAAGATTTGAACAAGTAGACTTGTCGACGAGACATTTGCATCTGTTTTTTTGTTTTTCTGTTTATTAGTCAAAATTTTACTTTCTTTTCACAGTGTACAATCTTTCAATTCGAATTTGCTTTTATGTGGAAACATTTCTTTTAAAAAGCGTCGAAATTCCTCATGAATTCTGCCCTGATGTGTATAATTTTTATTTGTACGATCATTAATACTTAAAAATTTTGGCATTTGTGGTCGATAACGAAGACCGTCAAAAAATAGCCTTGCTTGTTTTAAACTATTCTTAAGTACTTGATTACAAAAATCTTCTCCATCAGGTGGACAAGCACTTTTCATTCGTCGTTCTTCGACACATCCGTTCGACTGTTCAATTAAATACCGCGAAATAAAATAAGTTGGATGAACATCATTCATGTCACGAAATCGATGTGATGATTGTTCACGATGAATTTCGGTGAACTTCGAGGACCAAACCTCTTCAGCAATTGATTTTCTGATTGGATGTGGAGCATGTGGAAGAAAATGTCGATCACTTGTATTCACGTTTCTATTTGTATTAGTCAGGAAATTGTCAAGTAAAAAGTTTGTATTCAACATTGCTTTCTTATGAATATTCAATGTAACATTAGTGTTTGATGTTAAACGATCGTCACCATAAATGACTGGACATTTTCCATCGAGGAAAAAATCATCGATCGAAACTGGACGTCCAAGTATGTAATCATCGTTAAAATAAAGATAAAATTCCTTCAAATTTGGAATTTTGTGAAGATTAGCTTCTATAGCATGAGAATTAAATGTTGGAAGATACTTCTTATCTATGATTTCTCGAGTTGAAATCACTCGGAGTTGTGACTTTGATTTTGAAATATCTAACCAATTTGGTATTTGATCGGTTACAACATAGATATGACCATGAAATGATGGCATATACTTTTCAATACTTCGTAGTGAAAAACATAATTCATGATTGTCTTTCGATAGACTCGATGCAGTGCTGTGACGTTCTTGCAGACGATGACTGCCCAAAAGTTGCCCGTCGACAGAAAACCAGTAGTCTTTTAGTCGAATATATTCTTCATTACTACCATTGACATAAGTATAAACAATATCGAAAAGAAAATCATCATAATTTATCAATGACGACGAAAAATCTGGTCTCAATAACCATTTGGGAGTGTTTTGAACGATGATAATAATAGAAAAAGCAGCGAGTAAAAAAGTTTTGTAGTTCTTACTGAACACCTAAAAAGAGAAGAAAAATCGCAATTCATTATAACTTCTCTTTACTTTGTTTCATCTGAATGGCCTACACAATAATGCACTATCCTAACGTTGGTTCAATGTGTGGAACAGAGTTTTCAAGATGACAAACTTCATGACATCAAAGTGTGTATGTTTTGAGAAACATTAGTTCAGGATGTACTACAGTTACTGGTTTGAAATAAAAAGCGATAGTTTGGAAAGGTCAAAGCAAGGAGAGTTATTTTAGATGTGAGATATGTATCAAAATGATAATAAAATCTCGACAGTAAATCTAGTTTCTTCTATCATATATTTGTATTTTACCAGAAAGATCATTGTCTCCTCATCGGGATCTATTATAGTCTTTTCACATGGACTTATATTTGTCTCATACTGATTGATATTCAATTGTATCTTCATTTTTATTTCTCATTCGCTTTCTTATTACTCCATTTTAAACAATATACATATATGGAAGATTTTTATGTGTTCAGCAGAATTATTCTCCTAAGTGACGAAAGTATGGCTGTGTTTAAACAAGCTAACTTCTAGCTATCTCACGAACCCTACTAACGATTCAAACAAATAATCTACCGGGCAACAGGCAAACGTTGGTTCTACGTTTAAATCAAAACTATTATGAATAAAAATCTCAAAGAATTCTGACGCGATATCTTATGAGTCGCTGGATATAAGCTACGATTGATACATAGACAATATGTCCGATCGAATGTCTCAGATGTTGCTCAATTTAAGATGTATGATGGAGGCAAGCATTTAATAAATTTTGACCCAGGAATGGCTTTACTAATTACGCTCAAAACGTGTTCTAAATACACATGCCTATGAATTATATTGAAAAGAAAATTTTTAGCTAAATCGGTTGAGTTGTTGGCATTTTATCTATTCTGCTTTTAGGAGAAAAGTCACGATTTTGAACACTTTCAATACTTTATTTCTCAAAATTGCCAAAGGCCAGAAACTTATTCTCGGTAAAAACTCGAGATCGATTGAGTATTGCGTTCACATTGACAAATTTCTTTAATGTTAGGCTTATTGACGAAAATCCGAGTTTTCAATCAAACTTATCTATAATCTAATCGAATAGTTTAATAGTTACCATCCTTAAGTTGGAAGTAAAATCTTTGGTGAAGAACGTCACACGAGACTCAGCTTGAACTATCAAAGGCTGCTCCAGAAGAGGAGATTGTCTGTGAAAACCCAAGTAAAGCGTGTTAACCGGATACGTGATTTGTGCATTTGAAAATTGCAGTCGTTGAGTAAATATTAACTTGAACATTGTATCTAGGTAACTATGGATGGAGAGCACAAAGATGATCAATTGGTATCAATATCTTCAAAGGATTTCTCAAAAAGTAAAGATATCATAAACAGTTTGCCAACGCAATGCATTGACAATTAAAATATGGAACGTGCATGTTTTCTTTAGCTTCATGATACTGATATAAAATGCGTTCATTGAAAAATCTCTAGCAAACTATGGTTATTTTTCAAGAATAATCGATCGCCAGAAAAAGAATCTGTCTTATTTGTTCTCGCGTTTCGAACTAAATTGTTCTCCTTCGTCTTACTGACACTCTATTTTTGTTTATCGTATTGCGTTTCGCTCATGATTTTTCTTTTATTCATTATATCAGAAGCAAATCTTAATACACTATGATGTATATAGATACACTCAGCAACATTGATATTGATTCATTTCACTAAAAAGTTATAACTTGATCAGTTCACGATTTTTATATTGATCGTGTGACGATTATGAAAAATTCATGTATCACTTAATATCATCATTAACATCTTAAATATTGTTTTTTATCTTTGCGAAACTAAACTTTCTAGAACAGTTAATCTACGGCGTTAATGGTCTTCGATGTCTTTTTTCTTTCCTAAGAAACTCTCGGAATATGATCTGACACTAGTTGTTCTCAGTTGTTATAGAAACATATTCAATGATGTTTGATTTCAGCTTTTTAAATGAGTAAGTAGGAGAGAGTCGTAAATACGAATGTCGAATGTCGAATTAGCATTATTGATTAATGCCTAATACTTCAGCATTATTGGGATTAGAATTAATTAATGCTTAGTTGTTTGCATTAATTTAGTATTATGTTTAATTCTAATACATGTATTTCTTGTTGGTTCTAGGCTTCTACCTTTAACTTTTCAAAGGCTACCTAGAGGTACTCTCTATAACTGTTCAGTTGTTATAGTGTCAATATAGTAGTAATTTTTTAGAACCACTCAAACATGATGCATAATATTATATAATGAACTGATGTTTCTGGAATAACTTGTTTGTTGATGTGAATCATGAAAAATTTCAGATCTGTCACCAAGAACATTTTATTGATGCTTTAATATAAAATATACATGGGATGTGGGGGTTAACTTTCTGTTCCCTCATACCCTTCTTTGTGATGAAAATATAATATTCAGAATCAGAATAAAATACTCATTGTATGCCTGTGCATCGATAATATCTCGAAATGTCTAGTTTTTCATTTGAATGTATATGTTGAAAAGTCTAAGTGTTATTTTGTACGATAATCTAGATTTTCATCGTAAATGTTGAAATGAACTGAAGATGTTTTAAAGAAGATCTAAATCCGCTTGCTTTTAATGCTGATGCTCATTACTATATTTTTATTACAAAAAAGTGTAGTTCTGATAGAGAAAATCCAGAGTAATGCAGGGAAATTCAATTTTTTCACGTCACATTTAGAAAAATAGATTTTCTCAAAAGTGAAAAAGCATTAAAAAAGATGATGTGGATGCTATAAAAATCAAAGATATTGTCTCATCAGAACAACAATGAGTAAACATTGCTGAAATTCAGTTCATACAACCGATTAAACTAAAGTTCATTAGTTCTTAGAATTCATACATAATATGCAGCAAATCTCGACATACTATTTCTAGAATCAACTCTACACAATCGATCCATATAAATTAAAGTAGTGAGACCGAAAACTAGATACTTAAAAAAAATGTTATTTCGTTTTCTGTAAGATTTGTTTTTACAGAATTTCACATCCTCTCAATACTTTACATTGGTTTGTATGTGACTTGATCCAATCAAAGAATAATACAATAATCTGAATCAAAGTACAACAATGAAACTAGCGATGTTTAATTGTGATAAAAAAATATCTACTGTAATTTTGCAGTAATTTCATTCTATACACTCATATGTTTTCGTGCATAGTTGAGAAAGCATGTATATTTTATATTAAAGCATCAATAAAATGTTTCAGACAACAGACCTGAAATTTTCATGATCCAAATCAGCAAATAGGTTATTGTAGAAACATCAGTCCATTATAAAATATTATTTCATGTTTGAATGCTTCTCATAAAAAGAAATGCTGCTGTAATGTCAATATAGCAGATGAATAGTGACAGAGAGCACCCCTAGGTAGTCTTTGAAAATTTACAAATAATAAACCCATTTAGCTTTTGAAAAGTAACAAAAAAACATCCCCAGGTGGCTTTTGAAATGTTACAAAGGATGTCACCAGGCAGTTCTTAAACAATTAAAGTTATTATGCGAAGGTAATACTATAGAACTTACATACAGTGTATGTATTAGAATTAATAATACTAATGCTAACATGACATCCTTAGTCACAAAATCTAAGCTGAAGGCTTACATTCCGAATTTTCTTCAAAAATACACGTGAATTCCACATAAGAGTGTTGAAGGATGTGCATATTTATTGTTAAGGAGAAAAAGTAATATTGAAACTTCTTCTTTCTATCAGATTCGTTATTAGACAATTAAAACACATTATTCCACTAGTTTTCATCAGTTGGGATCGATACATTATTACTACGAATTGCACAGAAAACTGTCGAATTTCAGCATCTATGCAAAGTACATTGGAAAGAACGTCTTCAGAAACCTGTTCTACATTGTTTTTATGTTAAAACGATTTTTCAAAATGAAATTATGAGACACTCAATTCTATGGTAGATATGCTACTGCATTTCTACCAATATTTTCTTCTACCCTTCATGACTATAGGTTTTAAATTTTCTATTATACAAACATAGTGAAAATGTATGTTTATAATAATGCTCTTTGAATTGCACTATGTGCTAATGCTAAAATCTCAAATTAAACTTTTCATGTCTCTGGAAATGTAATATTTTGAGATATGAAGGTTCGAAAGTGTTCAAAATCGTGAATTATCGAGATAATCAGTCCAAAAAATTCTTTATTTTTAGAGCTGTCAGTAAAAAGAATTCAACAAAAACAAAATTCAATGTTCTTTGAAGTGACTTGCATCAAAATTCATAAAACACTTGTCTGTATCGTATATATTTTAGTGAATAAAATTTGAGACCATCGATTTAGCCCACTCTCTTTTTGCTTATATAGACTGATACTTATAGAGATTTTTTCCATTAGTGTTAAATATATATACGAGTTTTCACTATAACACATAAAAATATCTATAACATCCAATATGTACATGTAAATTGTTGACGTGTTATTTGAGAGAAATCAATGCATTGTTTTTTCGAATTTAACCATACATTTCATCAAAAATATTGTGCTATTAATCCGATAGGTTTTTCATCTTTAAATTTCAATAAAAGCACTAAGTGATGTTCAGCATAAATATAAATGAAATCTCTTTTGAAATAGAAATTCAAATATT